TAGTAAAGATTGTAATAGTTAAAAGAATAAAATTTTGATAGGGTGTGTTAAACCTTCCCCAAATTCCAACACCCAACTTTAAGATAAACCTGTAATATTTGCTAGTAATGTGGAATAAATAATAACTTGTTGTATTTAAATATTACTAATTTTATAAAGAAAACACTCTATTTTAAAAAAAAAATTGTATTTTTGTGAGGTGTAGGTGGCGGATTAGCACTCCTCTGTATCCCTCCATGCGCCCTTTACCTAGACACTAGTTTGAAATTACAGCCTGTTTTTACATCTATCTTTTGATACTAAGTTATAGATATTTAAATAAGAATTGTCAAAGTTATAATTATTTATGTAGAAAAATTTTTTTTTTTTTGACCACAGTTTTATCAAGAAATCCATATATTGAAAAATTACTACTAAAATCGTTATATTTTTTTCATAGAATTGTCTAATTTTCATAATTTATTCACCTTTAAAATACTGTATTTGAGGGCTTTCCAATGATATATAGCATTCTAGTATTGGATCAATTTAAAAAAATCAGTCCACGTACCTATTAACATTAATTTTATTTCTCAAACATACTACAAACACTCTAATATGATATATTATATATACTTATAATTTATGAACCAATAATTTTTTATGAATATCTAATCTAAAAACAAGATATTTAAGTTAATTTACTTTCAAGAATATCACTCTAATTCTAATATTCTTTTCTTTCTATTTAAAATCAAATTGTGTGCTCTTGTTCATCTATTAAATTGTTTATTTGTCTGAAATCACACACAAGTTACTCTCCTCTTCCAATCAGTAATTTCTTTACTTCTATAAAAAATTCTCAAAATTATCTTCCATCTTTTAGCAACCTTAAATTATATATTCTAAATCATTGTTCAGTAAAGTACAGCATAACAAATCACATCACAAACCAATGCATGAAATTATGAAATAATTTATCATTTTTTATTCATAGAATAATTTATTTTTTATATTCACTTTATATCACTAAACTTTACTAAAACTCATCTTAAAGTCTTTTTATTTTGGAGAAATGTAATTACTGTTCGTAAAATGTTGGACTCATTGTGGGTCATTATTATTGCTCTTGGTATGATTATATGTAATATAAATATCAAAGTTATTTTACTTCTATTCATATCACTATTACTTATTGTTTAATATTAAATTTGATATTTATCAATATTATTGTTACTATTATTATTGTTATTATTATATTGATATGAATATAATTGTTAACAATACTTACCTCGTTATAATTGTTTTAATATTGTTATTGCTATTATTATACAGTTGGTTTTTACTTAAGATTAGTATTAGTACTATTTCTAAATATCCATGTTTATGTTGCATACATACACATATATGACATATGTGTATGTTTTCTTTTAAGCAATTGCAAGTTTCCAAATACATGCAAAGTAAAGTAAGTAAAGAAAACAATACTTTTCAATTAGTAAATTTAGTATTACTAATTAATTTTAATTTTTTACATTTTTTATCCTTATTTTTATAACATGATCAATTAAAATGCACTAGAACTTTGTTCTGGTGCATTTTAATTGAACTAAATATAGAGTTTTAATTTATTAACCTGGGTAAATAAATTTCCAATTGAGAGAGTTGATAGAGTTGCAGCATTTTTAGAGAAATATCATTTTTTTTTTTCATTTGTGATTTCATATATTTATTGGATAAAATGAAATAGGGTTTGAAAATCACAAATCCTTTTTTGTATGAGAAGGTATTTTCAAAACTGCTATGTCCTCTAATGGGTTATTCTATAAGTTTTCTCTGCTTTTTAAAGTTGTATGCTTTTTTTATTATTATTATTTAATTCAGATTGTTGGCGACATGGCACATGTATTAAAGTCTTCTGTCAAAGTTGACTCAGCAAGAATGAAGACATTGACACCATTTTGCATTATGGAATACACAAGTTGGCCGTTCCTCGCCCACTGCCACCCAAATACAGGTAGGTATGCATGCATACACAACCCTCAAAATTAGTAAAACTAAAATGAGTTATAAATTTTCGACATTTTAAGATATGAAAAGATATTACTGTTAAATTTTGAGTTTGTAAAATTTATTTTCAGGTATAAGAAATCCTTATCTGTACGTAACAGACGATAGAGACGAAGTGATTGTTATGTGTGGCAAAAGATTATTTTATGAAGTTTTTCATTTTCTGACTTCGTGATAGAACTTATTGGATTACACTTTTTTTGAACATAGGAGGAGTATTGCCGCTACAAGCATGAACAATAATAAAACATTCCAAATAATAATTTGTTATTTCAACGATTAGGTTTGTTGTTTAAATGTATAAATGCTTGTTGAATATTCTTATTATATATCATCCTAATTTCAAAATAATGTTTCATTTTTTCCATGGAAAAAGTACTTTTGTAATATTGTTTTATAGTACAGGAGAAATATTATTGAAAAAAAAAAAGAATCTTATTTTAAATAAAAATAATATAGAAACATGTAAAAAATGATTTTTTTTAAGAAATATAAGTTCTTGAAACAAGAAAAAAAAAAACATACTTTTAAGAATATAAGTTCTTGAAACAAGAGAAAAAGATCTTGTTTTAAGAATAAAAATTCTTAAAACAAGAAAAAAGTTTTTATATTAAGAAAAAAAATTCTTAAAACAAGAAAAGGAATTCTTATATTAAGAATAAAAATTCTTAAAACAAGAAAAATAATTCTTATATTAAGAAAAATAATTCTTATATTAAGAAAAAAAATTCTTATATTAAGAAAAAAAATTCTTATATTAAGAATAAAAATTCTTAAAACAAGAAAAAAATTCTTGTTTTAAGAATAAAAGTTCTTGAAACAAGAAAAAAAAATATTTAAGAAAAAAAGTTCTTAAAACAAGAAAAAAAAATTTTTATATTAAGAAAAAAAATTCTTAGAACAAAAAAAAAATTCTTATATTAAAAATAAAAGTTCTTAAAACAAGAAAAAAAAATCTTATTTTAAGAATAAAAATTCTTGAAACAAGAAAAAATATTCTTACGTGGCGGACAAGTCATTTTTTCCTTGTTTTAAGACTTTTTTTGCTTAAAACAAGAATCTTGGATTTTGCTGTGTATTTAGTGCTCCAAGTATACGCAGAAGAGACTCACAAGATACAGTTCTATCAGCTCCAAAAATTGTTCTGCACGCGTGTTTTTGTTTAAAGTACAATTTTTTGAATTTTGTATGGTTTGTACTTGCCCATGTAATATTGCAATAAATTAAATAACAATGAATAAAAGAGAAGTATAAACTTTTTAAAGAATTATTGCTTAAAAATGGTTTAGTCCTATATATCATTGCTAAATTTTTTGATTTTTATTTTCAATACTCCTCGTTTCAAACATGGATCTCCTGCTTCTAAAGCAAGCGCTCTAACTACTGCGCCACGGCCGCAGCAGATAAAGAGTTTTAAAAACTTTAAAACCCTTTATCTCAATATTTTGAGATAAAGGGTCAACAATTTCTCTTAATATCTTTTGAGATTTTATTGATGAAAAAATGCAACGCCGATTCTTTTTTTAACGTTTATAAAGACTTCAAAACTTATTTCATTACAACCTGCTAAACATCATTTACAAAAGAGTGTTTCATTGTGGTATTGATTAGCTGAGATCCAATAATATCATACATTGATTTGTTGTCCAAAAGACGAATAAAAAAGTTCTATTTATTTAGGTGCATACATTTTGATGTCTTGAGTTTTTTGTTTATTTTGTTCAAATTAAAATTCAAGTTATTTAATTCAGAAAATTAATTTCTTTATTTTTACAAATAATTTTTTTATGGATTAAGAATATGCAATTTTTTTAGCTACTCAAATGACAATAATCCTAGAGTTTTTCTAATTTTTGAGGCCTGGCAACAGTATTAAAAACTCTAAAACCTTTTACAATTTTTTTGTCACTTTCGAACACTCGTCTTTTATAAAAACTAAGTTATTAAAATTATGTTTATTGTTATTGAAAATTATTAAAATATTATTAAGTCACTGAAAAAATAGTTTGAACGCCAGTTATGTGCGGCCGTGGCGCAGTGGTTAGCACTTACTTTATAAGCAGGAGATCCTGGTTCGAAACAAGCCTTGGACATATTTTTGCGTCATGGTAAGGAAGGAGGCGTGAAAGTTGTTATATCATTATTAAGTTATTAAAAAAATAGTTTCAACGCCAATTATAACATTGCGAAAAACCTAACAAAATAATATCTAGCAAAAAATTAGGGTTTTATTTTTATATCTAAACTTAGAAATAAGGCTCTGACATGGGCTTCGTTTTTCTAAGGTTAAAATCTCATTTCTTCTGTTCAGCTGGTAGAAATATCCATTTTACTGCATGATTTTAAAAGCTTTGTAATTTGAATAACATTTTTTGTGTGTACCCATGCCATCTTAACATTTAAAAAATAACTATGAATTAAGATAAAAGAAAGTTTTTTGTGAACGATGATCAGTAAATGAGCCAGTCTTAAAAAAGCAATCTTAGTCTTATAGTCCCAAAAAATATATATATATAATGCCTAAACGCAGATAATATTTTAACACAATTCAAGAGAATGTTAGATTTAGTAAAAAATGCCTAATATGCTCTTAACCTAGTCTTAACCTACTAGAAATTACATAACTATATAGAAAACTGTTTCCTAAGGCTAAATAAACAATTTTTCACGTTTTAAATAAAGCTGTTACGATATAAAATACAAACCAAATAAATTTTATTTATCTGGTTTGTATTTTATTTGTTTAATTACCTATCGAACAGTAATCTCAACTATTACTTGCATAAAAAATCTAGGCTTTTAAATCTAGGCTAATTTAAAACCAGTATTTTAATAGATTTTAAACCGAATAGACTTTCATTTCAGATAAGTTATTCTTATAAAAAAATTATTCTAATAAAAAAATCTCAACAGAAAAATTTCAAACAAAAATTTTGTATTATAACCAAACAAAAGTTTTATTTGCTATATTTAAAATAATTTTTTTTACAATCTGAAATATAAAATTAAATTTAAATAGACAGGTAAATCAACTAGCAAATCAAATGTTGTTAGAGAGTTCTTTTACTCAACAGCTCTTCTGAAATGTTCCACAGTTTATCAGCAGCTTCATCATCCATAATAAATGGTGCATAACCCAAGGTTTGAGCCCGTATCTTGTTAATGTCTGATTCTTCTTTGCCAATAGAACAATTCTCTAGATACAGTCCAGATTTTCCTTCTAATTCTGGAGATACAGCAGCCCAAACGGATGTTGAGGCTCCCGCTTCAATTGACTTAAATTTCTTTAGGAATTTACCGTTTTCATCAATCAGTCCTCTTTCAATCCAAACCTCTTTACTTAGATGTCTCCCTAAATTAGTCATGATAACTCCAGGCATAACTGAATTCGATGCAATACCATCATTGAAAAACCTTTTTGTTAAAGCCAATGAAAACAAACAATTGCACGTTTTTGATTGCCCATACGAAACAAATCTTTCGTACTCTCTACCTTTTGTAAAATGGATGTCATTAAAATCAATGTTTGAATACGCATGCGCTGTTGAACTGACATTGATTACTCTAGATTTGTTGCTCATAAGTTTTGCGCCCTCTTTCAACGCGGGTAAAAGTCCAATAGTCAAAGCAAAATGTCCCAAATGATTAATACCAAATTGTGCTTCAAATCCATTTTTGGTAAAAGATTTAGGACAAGCCATAACTCCAGCGTTATTAACCAATATATTCAACGGTCTTTTTTTGGCTAGAAATCTTTGAACAAAGTTATCGACACTTTCTAACGAGTCCAATTCGAGTAGCTCCACTTCGATCTGATCATTTCCAGTAGATTCAATCAGTTCTTTAGCAACTTGGTTTCCTTTTTCCAAATCTCTTGTACAAAGAACACATCTGGCACCAGCTTTAGCTAAAGCTCTAAGAGTTTCAACACCAATTCCAGAATTTCCACCGGTAACAATTACTTCATAGCCTTTTAAGCTGATGCCTTCCACAACCTCCAATGCAGTGGTGTCTTCTCCAAATTTGCTGCACATTGTTTAACTATTATTTGGCTTTTGGAAACTAAAGTTAAAAATATGTTGAAATTAAATTTTTTGCTAACAAATAAATTCCAAAAAACTCTAAGTTTTTTTCTTCGTAATTAATTCACAATGTTAGATTTAATGAAATTAATTACGTAGATTTAATCTGATATCAATAAAAAGTTAACTAATAGAACTTCCTTGCTAATATAATGCTAATAGAGTTAACGTCAAAAGCATCAACACTAACAACAATAAAAACAACACATTTATTAGTAACTTGGACATTAGCAATAATAGTGATAGCGTAACAGAATTACACTAATAATAAAAAATATTTGAAGCAATAAAAATAATAGTAAAACATAACAAGCATTTTTAGTTTAATTGAACTGGAAACCAAGTAAAAAACTCAAAATTTATTAAAGTTGGTTTATTACGAGCTCATGCAGCTTAACATTTGTTTATTATAATATTGTAATATTAAGTTAATTACTTAACTATAATTTGCCCCAATCTAGCACAACTAACAAGTTCCTTAACAACAACTAAGAGCCTAAGTTGTTATAATCGATGCATTCATATACAGCATCAGTTTTATATAACGGAACAAAATTTTCAGAGCTTTTTAAGAACAAATATAAAAAATTTAAACTGAGAAATCAGAAGACCATTTATAGTTAACATTTATAGTTAATTAAGTTCAATCTCACCTGTTACTTACTAATTAGTTTCATGAATTTTTAAAATTAACTTTTTAATGTTTAAGTTTAAATGAATTTTTAATGTTTAATAAAACATCAATAACTTTGTCATAGTTAATAGAGTTAATAGGGACGAAACCAGACAATTTAGTATAGCAGGGAAAAGGGAATGGGGGCAATTTTGAGGTATTTTTTTAAAGGGCAATTTTTAAAGGCAAAATTTTGCATTTTTAAATTTTATTAAAATTTTTATCATTGTTAAACACCCTATTTAAATTAGTTTCTTCTTTTTCAAACAATTTGCTTGGTTTATAGAAATAAAAAAAAATGATTTTATTAAATCTAAGCAGGCAATCGTCCTTGTTTTTTTTGGCAATCGTCCTTGTTTCTTTTATATCTTCATTATATCTTCAACATAACGGCCTTCAACACAACGACCTTCAACACAACACACAACAGCCTTAAAGGTTTTCAATCGAAATGAACTTTTACTTTCTGAAAAGTTTATCTGGTTTTAAAGGTTTTTCTGAAACTGCAATAATCAATTTTGTAAATAAATTCAATTACGAATTTGAGAACCAGAGATTAAGCATTCATAAACAAAAATGATCTCTTTTGCTTTGATACTGTTTTAATATTGAACTCAAATCCATTTTTGAGTTCAATATTTGAAGTCTTTAAAAACTTGAAACGTTTGTAATTGTCAAAGTAAAGCTCTTTGGATAAATGTTTCCCTTTTTCATTAGATTTTTATTTAATTTTACTGATGAGCTTTGAAAGAAGTTGAATAATATTTAAATTTTGAAAAAAATGTTCTGGCTGAAAGTCATTCACTGAACACAATTTATTTAAATTCAAAATATTATATATCTTTAAAAGAAAATAATGAGAAAAATATTAGGATCTATACTGTAGATTACCTAGTACCTAATAATGTACTTGGTCAATAGTTGAAATCGAATACACTTTATACATTTCTTGTTGCGATTCATGAAAAAAATGTTTTTTAAGTAAAAGCAATTTCTTGGGATTTGATTGATATATTACATTCATATATACTACATATATTTTTTTAAATTAAAATAGCTATTACCCTTTTTTTTACCTAAAATAGTTAATTCATTACTACATCTTTGACTTTGAAAACCGTCCGTATTGAGACAGTTATTTTTCATTTATTCGGTGATCTTTGATGCTAAATCTAGTTATCAGTTTTTTTGGCAGGCCCTTGATATAACAGAACCTAGAACAGGACCATGAGGAACACCACACAAAAAACTGATTTATAACTAGAACTTATATTATAACTAGTTCTTGATATAGTCAAAAATTACAACATTGAGCAGACACCAACGGAATTGTCTTGTGGCGGAACAGTATTATATTTATCAAAAAAAACTAATGTACAAACGAAGAGATGATTTAATGATTTATACACCTAATTGTTTAGAATCCACATTTGTTGAAGTTATTTTTTCTAAAAAGTCTAATATTATTGTTGGTTGCATTTATATACACCCTTGCATGGATATTAATATTTTTAATAATATCATGTCTGTTTTACTTCAAAAAATATCTGCTGAAAATAAATCTGTTTTCTTACTTGGTGATTATATTATTGATCTGATGCAATCAAATAATGACATTGCGACATCTGATTTTTTAAACTTATTTTTTTTTAATAATATTTGCCCTTTTATTACTTTGCCGACTAGAATTACTGATCACTCTGCTACAATTACTGATAATATTTTCTCTAGTTTAATAGCTAATGAATTTTTTTCAGGAAATTTAACAACTTCTGTTTCTGATCACTTACCTTAATTTTGTATTCGTCTTAATTTCAATAAACTATTTATACCACGCAGACACAATTTATATAGCAGGAGTTTTAAAAACTTTAATAAAGAAAACTTTAAATTATTTTTTTGATATAACACAGTTCAATGATACTAACACGTGTTTCCAAACGTTACTGAAACAACATTGATTTTAGATCGTTACGCCCCACTTAAAAAAATCAGTATAAAAACTTTAAACATCGATTCAAACCATGAATTACAAAAGGAATTATAAAATTTATTCAAGTGCACAATCTTTTCCAAAAAAAAATGTTAAGATCTTAAAAAAAAAAAAAAAATTGAAAGTATTTTTAAAAAATATAAATATATAATAGTTAAATCAATTAAACTTACTAAAAAAAACCATTTAAAATTTTTTTTTTCAGAAAATGTAAAAAATCTTTGCGAACTTTGGAAGGGAATTAATACTCTAATTGATGTAAAAAATTTGAATAAATCATCTGGTAACTGTTTGCAAGAAAATGATACATATATAACTGATCCGAATTTAATCTTTGTATCATTTAACACTTTTTTTTACAAAAGTTGCTCATAAACTCAAATCCAATATTCACTCATCTTACATTAACTATCAAAAGTATCTTAAACATCCAAATTTACATAGTTTATTATTATCTCCAACAAATATTTTTGAAATTTCATCTCTTATATCTAAATTGAATCCAAAACATCGTTTGGTCCACACAGCATTCCCACAAATATTCTTATAGATTTTAACTACGATTTTTCAAATAATCTTTCTAAATTATTTAATACCTCATTTATAAATGGAAAATTTGCTGCTATTTTGAAATTATCTTGCGTTAATCAAATATTTAAAAATGGCTCTAAACTTTCATGCACTAGCTACAGACCTATTTCTCTTTTATCTAACATTAGTAAGCTTCTTAAGAAACTTATGTATTCTAGAGTGTACTCTTTTCTAAACTCATTTAATTGTTTAAATGATTTTCAATTTGGTTTTCGATCAAAACATTCTACTTGCCATGCATTAATAAGTATAACGAAAAAAATCAGGAAAGCTCTTGATACTGGTCATTTCAATTGAGGTATTTTTATCAATTTACAAAAAGCTTTCAATATCGTTGACCATAGTATTTTGATTTCTAAATTAAAACATTATGGAATTCGCGGTATTCTAAATGACTGGTTTTGATCTTATCTTTCAGATCAAAAACAATTTGTAAGTATTAATGGTTTCAATTCTAGTTATAAATTAGTTTTGTGTGGTGTTACTCAAGGTTCTGTTTTATGTCCTCTTTTGTTTTTAATCTACGTTAACGACCTAATCAACTTTGTTCATTCTCTTCAGCCCATCTGTTTGCTGATGATACAAATCTTTTGCACATCAACAAATCGTATCATACTTTATGTAAAAATGTTTATTCGGATCTAAAATGTATAGTTAACTAGTTAAATGCTAACCTAATGTCTCAACACCAAAAAAACTGAACAAATTTTTTATTCATCTCCAAAAAAAAAACAATTTCTTTAAAAATGTTGAAATCAAAATCAAAATTAAAAATAAACGGCTATATCCTTCAAGAGTCATTAAATATCTTGGTGTTTTAATTGATTGTAATCTTTCATGAAACTTTCATATTGATGAGCTAAGCAAGAAATCTCGAGCTAACGGTATGCTTTCAATAATTCGTCATTATGTCGATAAAGTTACACTTAGGAGTATTTACTATGCATTATTTTCATCTCATCTTAGCTATTGTTGTCAAGTTTGGGGTCAAGTTGGAAACTATCGCATTAACAAGTTGCTATCGTCTCAGCGTCAATTCATCATTAATAAACTTCCAACCAATTAAATCAGGTACATCGAAGTCCTTCAAAAAACTTTTCATTACAACATTTGCAGCGCTAGTAAAGTATGCTAATTTTCTTTTTATTTTTGACTCCTTAAATAAAAATATACCATCTCCTATCACAAACTTGTTCACAGAAAGTAAACTATTACATTCCTACTCAACTAGAAATATACACAATGGAAAACAAAATGTACCATATTATAATGTATAAATGTACCATACATACAATAGAATGTTTACCATACTTCATACTAATGTATGAAGTATGATAAACATTCTATTGTTTATCAGTGCGTCTGTGAATGGAACAGGAGCCTCGCATGCATTTTGAATGAGTCCAAAAAATATATATTCTAAAATACCTTTACTCCATCTTAAACAATATCAATTTAAAAAAATTCTGAAAAAATTTTTATTCTAACTTTTTGGCATTATTATCCTTATGATTTAAATATTATTTTAATTTTCATTTCGTAATTACTACAATTATCATCAGCACTTTTTGTTTGATTTTTTATTAGTAAAACCTGCAAATTGATTTCTACATGTTTGTTTTGATGTATACTTTATGTGCTTTGGTTTGTGCGTTTACGGTCCATGTGTTTCAGTGTGTGTCTTTGCTTATTATTACTTATATTATATTAAAATTGTTGTCACTCCTTTGATCAGATTTCTGTATGAGTGACACCGTCCTAATAAATCATTAACTTATTATTATATTAATATTAGTTATTATTATTATTTTTTTATTGTAATTATTGTAAAAACACTTATTATTACTATTACTATAATTTGTATAATTATATTTTTTATCTTATGTTATTATTATATATTTTTGCTATTATTACTATTATTATTATTATCATTATTATTAAAACTATTGTAAAATGATTTACGGAAAATAAATAGCTCGTTGTTGTTGTTGTTGATGGGTTTTGATGAAATCAGTAAAGTTTTATTTAAATTTCAATAAAAAACTGAAATTTAAAACTTAAAAACTGACTTAGATGCAAGCATAGCTAATAACTCTGAATAACTCTCAAACTATTCGTTTTATTGAGACGAAACAAAAGCGTTTTTATTGAGACGAATAAAGAGCGTATTAATGGCAAATGGTGAAATGTTATTCTTGCCAGTAACTTGTTTACTTTGTCATTAATAATGAAAAACTCAATATAAAATTTTTTAATCAAATAGCAAACTTAGACTTTAGTAGGCCGAACATAATAGGCATAAAACTAGTTTCTATTTTTTGATTGGCTGCAAAGCATTTGCTTATGGCTAACTTGTGTACCAGTAGATTTAAAAAAAAAATAGGTACTAAAAAATATAGATACCTAAATATTTTTTCTACTGGTAAAAAAATTAGTCGTAATTAGATGCTTTTAAGATATTAGGGATGGAAATTTTTTACTGCCAGTAATGATCTAACTAAATGTAAATTTGACATCAGATTGTACATGGGTCTATGTAAAATGCATTAACAATTTTCGGCCTGGGAGGGAGCATGTATACTAACTTCATCAAAGTTTTGATTTTATTTAGGAATTTTTCAATATAACTTATTGTGTTCTAAAACTATAGCCTTTTCTTTAACAGTTTGAAATTAATTACTATTAAAATTTGTTCAAGTTTGAGTTGAAATTGAGACTCATTCGAAGCGAGAAACTCTGCAGCTAATTTTGTTTCTATTTAAATTTATTTTTTCAATTTCAATTGAATTTGAGCCATCATCATAGACTGAAGACACCAAACTGATTTTTGAGCCAATAAACAGAATTAAACTTTTGTTTGTATACTGGGTTGTTTTCGTATTACTTAGGACTAACTTCTTTGCTATTAACGACAATAAACGTTTTGGTGAAAAAAACCAATTTTAATAGCAAATTACTTGTTTAAATTACTCTTTGCTGTCACTCTTTTTTTATATGAATACGAAACAGAAAGTTATTGTCGAAAAAAACTTTCTGTTTCGGTGTTGCTTTTAATTATAAAATAAAACACAAAATTTAAAATGTCTAAAATTGTTTTATTTTTTCAAAACATAATTAAAAACATATCCAAGTTAACAGACACAAGTTGTTAAGATCGTTAAAACTATCATTACATCAGGTTTAGAATCGGCACTTTTTATGTGTCTGTTTGAAGTTTTAACGTTTATTTGTAACGTTGTTTACACTCATAAATAAAAACCGTTACTCCGATACAGACATATGTCTGTATCGTCTATAAAAGAAACCAAAACAAACAAAATTGAGGTTTTATATTTTGAAATTAATAATATTTTAATAATTCAAATGTTGTTAAGAGTGAGTACCCGAAAAAGATATATGATGTTCATAATACAATCCATTTAAATCAATATACTTAAAAAAAAATTATTTTTAAAACCAATAATTGCTTGCTAACCTTTTAGATTGAAAATATGCTTTACGTGTGACTATTATCTCTTTCACATGTGGTATAATCTACTTCTTGCAAATGTAAATATTTTTTTTGAAAACAAAAATATAATATTACTATATTCAAAAGATGTGAAGTAAAAGTTATGCAACGTGTAAAAAAGATTTTACCCTTTATAATCAATTACAATAGATTAATTAAGATATATCATAATTTTTGTGCATTTAACTAAAACGTTTAACTAAAAATTTCATAAATTTGTAAAGAAAGTAGGAGACAATTTTTTAATTGCGCGAGATTTCAATTCTGGGGTTATGCAAACCGTGTTAAAACGGGAGGCTGCTTGTCACAATGTGATGCAATTATATTTTAAATCTATTTCATAATCAATATTATAAAATGAACTATTAAAGTCATCTTTAAGTTTAATGAAGTGTAAGTTCGTACTAATCAATGATAAATAACTTTAAGAAAAGTAATTAAAAAAATTAACTTAAATCTAAGATTTAACACACACATATTTTTAAAAAGTTTTAACACTTGTTAAGATATCAAAAAATAAACAAATGATAAAAATAAAAACAAACTAGAAACTCAAAAATGCAGTTCTAAAAAGAATTTAATATAAATATACTTTTAAAAATTAGAAGTTATGTACGAATTCTCAAATCATACGTTACCAACTTTATTCAACCAAAATCAGTGTTTCTGAGCAACACGATTATTACGCTTTATTTAACTTATATTCCATGAAAGTCACGTGAATGCTTTAATTACGACACCGGTATTGTTAAACCAATTTTGCGACTTTAAAAACAGTTTTTAGATAATTTTAAAGGCTAAAAATTTTTTCGAGAAGTTTTAAACCTTGAAATATTTTTCCTAATAAAATTTAATTTGATTTTTCTACATCATAATATACATAATAAATGTTTTTGGTAAAAACAGTTTTTCTAATTTAAAATACGCGAATTAGTTAAAGTCGCTAAAACGTGTTTCACGTGTGTTTTACTGAATTTCATAAATCGTTTTTGTAAATCGCTAGTACTTAAATACAGATACATACATACATACATACATACATACATACATACATATATACATACATACATACATACATACATACATACATACATACATACATACATACATACATACATACATACATACATACATACATACATACATACATACATACATACATACATACATACATACATACATACATACATACATACATACATACATACATACATACATACATACATACATACATACATACACACATACATACATGCATGCATAAATCCGCACCTCTAGTCAGACCGCTTTAGGCGTCCAGCAACCGTGACTTTCCTAAACTCGACTTTTATATTTTTGCAAAGTAATGTCAAGGTAATTAGTATTTATGTATGTTTGCTTATCATATGACGCATTCAAAACAATGAAGTTCGCATGTCCCGGTATTGGTGATATTTCGAAGTAAGTCTTTTCTTTTTATGCATCAATGTTGGGACTTGACTTTAGGCTGCATTTATATTGCAATAATTTTTATCTTTTTAGTCTTGAATTTTGAACATTATTTAATTTGATATCTGAGGTACTTTGTGGTGCTTAGTATGCTTTAATATGCTGAACGAGTTGTGGGAAACACTACAACAACAAACGAACTAAATTACAAATAAAACTTTATTTTTCAGTAAAGAATCTTCTGAAGGACTGCAAATCATATGATATACGTATAGTATTTTTATGATTGTGAACTGATGTATTTGAGAAGATAAAACTTTTATACTTGATAAATCCCATTGCCTTGTTTTATGGTTAAGTCAACATACGAAATAGGGCGGAGTTTTAATGACGTTATATTGTATTGTTAGTTCTAATATCAACTCCACAATGATTGAGTTTCAACAAATTCAATCTTTGTTTGAAAATCAATTCAATAATATGTTGTGCTGCTCTTAACAGTTATATTTTTAGAACACAATCTATACGCTAAAAAGTAAAGGGAAATCAATATGTGCAAGATTGTGAGCGATCTGATAAAGACAAATGCTTTAAAGCATACGCAGAAGGAAATATGTTAAAACATGACTAAGATACGTTTTTCTTTAACTTAAAAAAAATATACAAAGTATCCAGAATACAAAAAGAAGAAAATACTTAATAGAAAGTTTTTTTGTCAAAACTACACATTCTGACAACTTGTGCAACATCTTTCCGTTTTTCTCCATACTATCTTTCTAACTCTACTTCTTCTCATTTTTAATCTTGTTTACTTCCATTCTTTTTTAAACTCACTTACTCTTGATCCGTCAAAGCGGTTTATGATGCTCTTTAGTGAGCTGAACTTATATTCACAGGCCTTGGTATGTGGCCTGTATGTGGCAATAAGCCGGATGAGAATAAACCACAATATAAAAAAATATACGAAACATTTGAACTGTACCCAGCAAACTCGCCATGCTTGACCCATGCATGGCCCACCATCGGTGCCATGACTGTCCCACCATCGGCCGACAAATATTTTTATTTCAATAAAATATTCTTTCAATACAATAACATATAAAAGTTTAAGGTTAGCGAAAGGTTAAACTTCTACAATAATTCCAACTTGATGCTTGCATGAGCTAACGCTTGATACTTCTCGATATATCTATATTTGTTGCCTGCCAAGCCCCATCTGAAAGATTTAGTAATTACAAAAGTTAAAAAAATAGCCAAAAGTCAAGAAATCGTAAAATAAGTATAAAACTGTAACCTAAATAACTAAAAATAAAATAATTGCAAAACAAACTATACAAGTTAGTAATAACATTAAATAAGTAATAAATATTTTTAAATACAATTCTTTATTCTATATTATAAGTAATAATATACTTTTTTTGCACACTTTGCTAATAAGATCTTGATCTAGGCAGTGTTTGATGCTCTTCTCAAAACTTGACTTCCAATATTCTTGTGTTCTCAAACACAAGAATATTGGAAGTCAAGTTTTGAGAAATATATATATATATATAGTCAAGTTTTGAGAAATCAAGTTTTGAGAAATATATATATATATATATATATATATATATATATATATATATATATATATATATATATATATATATATATATATATATATATATATATCAATATATATATCAATATATATATATATATACATATATACATATATATATATATATATATATATATATATATATATATATATATATATATATATATATATATATATATATATATATATATATATATATATATATATATATATATATATATATATATATATATAGAGAGAGAGAGAGAGAGAGAGAGAGAGAGAGAGAGAGATAACAAACATTTCAAGGCTTAATTAACATTTATAACATTTATAAAAACTTAATTAACATATTATAAGTAATAATATAACAATTAACATTACTGCCATAAGACTGTGAAGCATGGTGGAGGCAATGTAATGGTCTGGGGGTGTTTTTCTACTAACGGTCTAGGTCCAATACATCGAATTGATGGAATAATAGACCGTTTCATGTATAAAAGTATCCTGAAAGATGTTATGTTACCTCATGCTGAATGGAATATATCAATAAAATGGGTTTTTCAGCAAGACAACAATCCCAAACACACTGCAAAAGTAGTCAAGCAGTGGTTTCAAGACAACCATCTATTGGTAATGGATTGGCTGCCTCAATCTCTGGATCTCAACCCTATTGAGAACCTGTGGGAGATCGTCAACCGCAGAGTTATTCAAAAATGTGTTCGTAATAAGGATCAACTGTTTGAACAAATCCAAAAGGCCGTACAAATAATGAACTTTGTGATGAATAAAATTTGAAGAACGTTGTCTCTAAACAGTTACATAGTTATTTCTCTAAATTGAAAAAATGCAGGACTTTTATACAAAGAAATTAAATTAGCATCATTTGGTTGCACTGGTTTTGTCCGATACTGTATGTGTGTGTGTGTGTATATATATATATATATATATATATATATATATATATATATATATATATATATATATATATATATATATATTTCATAAAAATAGATTCAGAATTCTACATGTCTTTTAAAGTCATTTAAATGTCGTTAATGTATATATTTTAGATATCGGCGACGTGGAAGAAAATGTTGACGGCAATGCAGAAATATAGTTTCTTATGTATGTTTTTGTGAAATAAAAATTAAGTAATGTTAGTTAAAATGTTTCTTTAGTTATTTAATTTAATCCTTTTTTATGACTAATTTAACCGCTGTAACACCTTTGTATGAAACAAGTCCCAGCAAAGAAAAAGATATCTAAAATGCATCTAATATGCATCTAAAAACTGGTCTAAAAGACGTCTAAATTCACGTCGTGAACGGGACATAAATAGATGTCTATCTTATAGATGTCTTTTAGATGCGTTTTATTCGACACAAATAAATGCCTTAGATGCATAAAAGATGTGAAATATACATTTAAAGATGTAAATTAGATGTATATTAGATGCATAAAAGAGCTATTATTAACTAAATAATTATATATTATCTATCTTTTTTAAACGCGCCTTAGACATCTATTTAAGAGACGTATTTTATACATCTAATATGCATCTGTAAGATGTATATTTCACCTCTTTTATGCATCTAGGGCAATTATTTGTGTCGAATAAAATGCATCTAAAAGACGTCTATAAGATAGACGTCTATTTATGTCCCGTTCTAGACCTGAATTTAGACATCTTTTAGATCAGTTTTTAGATGCCTATTAGATGCATTTTAGATATCTTTTTGTTTGCTGGGTTATTTTTATTTTTTCAAAATTTACCTACTTTTGCAGAGAATCTAGACTAGTTATTGCGTTTTAAAAAACATTTACAGAATTCTATGGCGTTGGCAAATTCAGATCATCTAGTAAAGCAGGGGTTTTAGCAATTTTTTTTTTTTTTTTTTTGATAAGGAAAAGAGAAAAAATCAATGAGATTCGCAACCGTTATTAAGTTTACAATGGCTTAGAACGTTTAACTTTTCTCTGAGTCTCAGTACTGCACATCTAAAAATTATGCATTTGAGAGTTTAAAACAAAACAAAATTTAGAAAAAATATTTACTTAATAAATCTCAATAAAAGTACTTAAAAAAGAAAGCATGTGATAAATACAATTTAAATTAAATAAACTTTTAACACATGATTAAAATATTTTATTTTGACTATTTTTGAAATGTAAAGTTTGAAATTTCGCTGAATCTCAGTTACGGTGCATCAACAAATTATACATTAGAGAATTTAAATCAAATCAAAATCGTGAAAAAAGTTTAACGTAATAAGTCACAGTAACGAAGGTTTAAAAAAAAAATGCGTGTAATAACATAGTTATAAGAAAGAATAGTTTGGAAGCGAACAATAGCGTATTGTTTTAACTCTTTCATACTGTTTTTTCTCGTTTCCGGACTTCTGAACCTGCACAAAAAGATTGTTGTTGTTAGCGTTTGCCCGTTATTTTATTAAGTTGTATTTGTGTTTTGATTGAAATTAGTTTTCTTGATATGCCTGGTGAAAATTGTGCAATATTTGGTTGTTCAACTTCAAGAAGACACAAAGGTATCAGCATTTTCAAAGTTCCTACTCCAACTAATGATGCAAATAAGAAATGGAGTAATGACCTTATTAACGTAGTTACTAGAGACAGACTCATCGATGATTCTTTAAAAAAACGAATTGATTCTTTTAATCTTTATATTTGTGAGCTTCACTTTACTGAAGATCAATTTTGGGTTTACTCATCTCGAAAGATTTTAAAGGATGCAGCATTGCCAACCCTAAATCTTCCCAAGAAAAGTAATCCATCGCAGCGAAGTTCGCTATCTATTACAAAACGTGAGGAGTTTTTAGAAACTCAAGAGTTGATTTCTCAAACTACACCGTTATGTTACAAATCTTTTGATGATTTTACCAAACGTATTTTAAAACTCTCTTTAAGTGAAAGATGGAAAATATCTTTTAATGAGAGATTTGCAATTATTACTTGTAGTTCTCCAGAACATATTTTACCTAAATTCGAAATTTATGTCGACGAGTTGCTAGACTATTGTATAAGAATTTTTGGTTGGATGTTACCAATAGATCATCTTTTGTACCTTCAATATAAAGGATCTTTTTTTAATGTTTCTTTATCCAAATTTATAAGTCATATTGAAACTCTTAATCTTTGCCCAGGTGTTAAAGTAAAAAATTTAGACTTAATTAACCAAAATTTTAAATTTGAAAAACATGTTATAACTAAAAAATTTAATTACTTGCTTTTTAAGCTGCTTCCTAATAAACCTAGATTAAATCAAGATGAGTTTTATCGTTCACCGTGTTGTAATGTTTTAATAAAATCCCAAAGTTGTTGTTCTTCATGCCATTCTTTGCAACTTAAATCTAATTATGAAGTAAATAATAAAAATAAAACTTTAAAACAACCTGCAAAACTGAACGCTCCTCTTAAGTTTACCTCCACAGAAAGAATTAAATTAAGTTTGCAACAACAACGTTTAAAATGCAAACAGTTGGAAAGTCAAATTGAACAAATGAAAACAGTTTTAAATATGGAAAGTGAAAAGGTTAATTTAGAACTTGACCAAGACCTTAAAACATTGTATTCTAGTTTTAATCAAAAAAATATTCCAGACTTCATAAAACTATTTTGGAACGAGCAGCAAAAATATATTCAAGCTTCTAGTCCCTGTAGCGTAAAGTATCATCCAATGATAATAAAATTTTGTCTTAATTTAGCAGCTAAATCTTCGTCAGCATATTCTGATTTGCGTTTTGATAGTAAGACTGGTTCAGGGTTTTTAGTTCTTCCAAGTTTACGCACATTGAGAGACTATAAAAATTATATACATCCTTCAAGAGGTTTTAATCCTCAAGTCATAAGTGATCTTGCATATAAAACTGCTAGTTTCTCTAGTGCTGAACGATTTGTTACAATTCTGTTTGACGAAATGAAAGTTCAAGAAGATTTGGTCTGGGATAAGTACTCTGGTGAGTTGATTGGATTTGTAGATTTAGGAGATGTTCAAACAAACTATGCAACACTTAAAAATGTAAGAGAGCTAGCATCTTATGTTTTAGTTTTTCATGTTAAAAGTTTAGTAAACCCACTTTCCTATAGTCTAGCAACATTTGCCACAACTGGAGTAACATCAACACAACTTATGCCAATATTTTGGAAAGCAGTACGTTATCTTGAAAGTATAAATTTGAAAGTAATTGCTGCAACTGCTGATGGTGCATCTCCAAATAGAAAGTTTTTTAAAATGCATAAGAAATTAGACGGTGGCTCAGGAAAAGACATTATATATCGCACTAAAAACTTATTTAGTAATGATAATAGATTCATCTTTTTCTTTGCAGATGTACCTCATCTAATTAAAACTTCTAGAAACTGCCTAAGTAATTCTGGTTCTGGATGTAAATCACGCTACATGTGGAATAGTGGATTTTTTCTTCTTTGGAATCATATTACAACATTTTATAATTCGGATTTAGAAAGAGGTTTGAAACTTGTTCCTAAACTAACAAGCGATCATATAAACTTAACACCGTATTCTGTAATGAGAGTACGACTTGCATCCCAAGTATTGAGCGAAACAGTCGGAAATGTTTTAAAGCAGTTTGGACCACCCGAAGCTGCTGGAACAGCAGAATTTTGTTTAATGATGGATATGTTTTTTGATTGTCTTAATGTAAAAAATAGTGCTGAATATATAACGAAAAGAAAGCCGTTTTTAAAACCATATGAAACAGTAGATGATTCACGATTTACTTGGTTAGATAACTTTCTCCTATACTTTAAATTGTGGAAAGAATCTATAGATCAAAGAGAAGGAAGTTTTGATGAGAGCTCAAAATCAAAAATGTTTATTTCTACACAAACTTATGAAGGTTTGCAAATTACAGTGCATTCATTCAAAGAAGTTGTTAAATTTTTACTTGAAAATGGTGTTCAATTTGTTTTTTCTGAGAGATTCTGCCAAGATGACCTTGAAAACTATTTTGGTAGACAACGTGCAATTGGTCGCAGAAAAGATAATCCGTCTATCAGAGATTTTGGCTACAACGACAATACAATCAAGTCGCAGTTTTCAGTTCGTCCAATTAATGGTAATGTTCAATCTAACAGCAATAATATCATAGATATTGAAAATAATCCTTTACCAAAAAGAAAAAGAAAGTCGTTAATTCAAATTAAAAGCCAACATTAAGCTCTTCATTTTCACATTTATTGATTTAAAAAAAAAGGTTATTTTTATAACCACAAAATGTTAAAAGCATTATTTGTCATTTATGATGACATTATGACAAATCAGTCGCCCAATATAGACCTTTTAGACCATTCAGTGGCAGTGGCCTATACAAATGGGGGGTGGAGGGGTAACTACTCCTAAAAAATTTCAAGGCCCCGCAAATTTAGGGGCCTTTTAAATTTTTGAGAACCTTTTTTTTTAGTCACTTTTAGGCTCTGGCTTATAAAAAGGCCTACAAAAACCACAATAGCCCAAGAAGTTTTAATTCGCCACTGCTAGGAGGGCTAGACTTACCCCCTTTAAAGGGAGTAACCCCCCCTCCCTCAACAGAACTTCAAACTATTAACGACAAAATTAAAAAAAAGTTTGATGCGTCATTTAAAACAAGAAAATTAAAAAGATCCACGAATGTACTAACAATTTTCAAACAACCATTCAAATTTCTTCCAACGAATTAGGGCCGTACCGAACGACAAAAACGTGGGGGGGGGAGGGGTGAAAATGAAAAAAGCTAAATTTACCGACAAGATCGTTTTTTTTTTTTTTTTTTAGAAGCCAAATTTCAGTTTTAACCGACAGAAGCCATAATTTTCGAGTTTTTCGTCAAAAACCGACAGAATTTTGCATATCTAGGGGGGTCTACACACATCTCCCCCCTCCCCACACACCCCTGTTAGTACGCCCCTGCAACAAATCAAATTTAAATTTGAACGTCTATTATTATAGATGTGCTCAAAGCACATAAACCTTTTTGGTGAAGTTGGAAACGGAGAGCTAACTTAGGCCATTTAATAAGTTACTTATTAAATGATAATCTTCTTGTGGCAGTGTACTGTTAAAGTGCTCTAAGAAGCCATTAGGTTTGCTTGGGGCACGTTAATAAATTTTAAAATCCAGGGAAACCGAACCTGAACTTTGTCTCACCTACGAATTTTTAAGCTTGTAGATATCAAAGAAACCGATGACCTTTTATTTTAGTTGACCAAATAGGGTTCCCCCTGTCCCCTTAAAAAAATATTCACACTGCTGTATTTGGGTTCACCAAAAAAAAGGGTACTCTGATTTCAATAAACTAGGGGATTTTTAAGAATAATAAAACGACGGTCGTATACTATTCTAACGCCCCTTTACAAAAGGTGTTGGCACTGGCAGATTAATACTTCTTGGGGTCTGGGGTTATTAATTTTTTTGGATTTTTTTTTTTTTATGTGTCAGAGGCTAAAAATATTAAAAAGTAAAAGTAAAAAGTCCTTCATAATATTTTATATACCCTAAATTGTGGGGCTCGGGTCAATATGCGGCAGTGTTGTAGTGGTAAGAGCGCTCGCTTTGTATGTGAGAGGTTCGGAGCTCGACTACCATCTTGCTTGTAAGAGTTGTGTTTTGGAGTTAAAGAGTTGAGAGGGTTGTACCACGATTTAAAAAAAAAAAAAAAAGTAGCCTCCTTGACTGTAGTGGCCCCTCGGGCATTGGGGAGGTGAATAATGAATAATGAAAAAATAATACAAAAAGTAGCTCCCTCCCTTAATCCGCCACTGGGTGTTTGAAATAAACATGAAAATGAAATAACCAATTTTAATACATTTAATTGAAATAATAAACTAATCAAGGAAAAGGAAAAAATTATATTGATTGATCCACATGATGATTGAACAACACATGACATTGATAGGGAATAACATTTTTTTTAAATGAGCAAAGAAAAATCTAAATTATTTTCCAGGTGGGTTGATATTTTATATTTGGTTATTTATAATCATAAGTGAATGTTATATCAATATAGTTAATGTAACCACAATAGTGAACGTTAAGCTGTTGTAGTTTAGTTAAAAAAAAAGTTCATTCATGTTACAATCCAATAACAGTATTTGATAAAATATTAAAATTCAGTATTTAATAAACAATAATACAATAAATAATTTTCAATAACAAAATAATAAATTGCTGGGTAACAGGTACACTTAATTAATAAATTTAATAACTGCATATATATCTGTCAGGTTAGGTTATCCTAACGTGCTAAAGTATATACAGTTATTAACTGTTAGTAATTGTTCCTCGCTATGTATATATTTTGGCATGTTTACATCCATGTTTTCACACTTGCGTGGTTTGGATGGTTCTCCATAGTGACATAAATATGCCACTAAGAAAGAATTGAAGCAATTTTTTACTAATGCCCTCCCTGGCGTTATTACAAAATGCCCTCCCAGGAGTTATCACAAAGATATATATATATATATATATATATATATATATATATATATATATATATATATATATATATATATATATATATATATATATATATATATATATATATAATATATATATATATATATATATATGTATATATATGTATATATATATATATATATATATATATATATATATATATATACATATATATATATATACATGTATATGTATGTTTATATATATATATATATATATATATATATATATATATATATATATATATATATATATATATATATATATATACTGATGTAAGTATAATAAAAGTTAGAAATAATTGACCCTAACTCTAAGTTTATCATATCTGGATCATTGCAAACATTGAAGGATTACCTTATTATATAAAGTAACTATTAAGTAAATTTTTAAACAGAATTTAAGTAGTTTATGTGCCATTAATGTTTTAAAAAGATATGTGGCTATGAAAATAGCCTTTTATGTTCAATTTCAATTTCCTTCACTTGCTTTCTTAATTTCACATCGCAATGAACGAGTCTTACAAGATTTCTTTCTCATTTTATGCTTTTCAATAACATCTTTGGCATAAGAAAACGAACGAACTCTTACAAATAATGTAATTAAGTGCTCTAGCAAATTCTTACTAACTTCGGTTGATTCTGGATCATTGCAAACTTGTTTAAAAAGAGATAAAACAATATAATTTGTTGACATGGAGTCAATTAGAACTTCAGGATCTAGTTTTGAAGAAACTTGTGTTGTTTTTTTACGAAAAATAATCTCGCATGTTAAAAAAAGATCCTGAATTATATTGTTTACTTTCCACAAACCCCCTCTATCTCTAATATTTACAAGTGCCTGAGTATCATCTTCCATAACCCTGCAGCGCAGTAAAATTGAAACACACTGTTGGCTATACTTACATAAATTTTTACTACTTTGAAATTTAGTATACAATCTCTGAAATATATATCCAATAAGATATTGTAAACTCTTTTTCTCGATATCAGTTATTTCTTGAGTTGTACCAACAGATTCAATTATATTTGGGTTTATATTAGAAAGATTATTTAATATAATGGCAGACATTTCAGTGAGTAGTGTATTGCTCAAAGTTATATCACTGAAGTGTGAAGCTAGTAGATTTTCGCTCAGCAGTCCATAATACTCTTGATAAAATAAATCACAATTGCCTTTAAATTTTTCTATAATCGGTTTTAATTTTTGCCAAAGATGTTCAGCATCATCTATTGAAAAACTAAATTGCTCGCATGAGAATTTTTTTCTAACATCAAATGGCAGGCACATGTCCATTTCCAATAAACTTGCACATTCTTCAACTATGCTTTTCAGCTTTAGCGGTGACAATTTATTAGAAGAATTCTCCGTATCAGACATTTTTACAGAACATTTTTCAAAACATTCTAAAATATGCTTCGATGCAATGTGTCTTTTTAAACCTCTAATTGTTTTGTATAGTTTAGGACATTGAGTGCAAGCATGTTGTTTGAGATTATCTCTATAAATATCGATATCAGAAACAATGGAATCTATATCTGTTACTAAGTTAATGTCATCATTCAAAAATCCTCCTTCAAACACATCAAACAAACATTCCAAATCACTATTTGTCTCAAAATCGCTGCTAAAATTTGCCATTATTATAAACTTGTGCAGGTTCGCCGGGTCGTCGTGTAGTTTTCAAGTTAAAATCGGAAAACAATGGAAATGGTCCGTGTTTCCAGACTATGTATTCTTATGACTATGGTAATAACAAGTAGGCGTAAAATTTTTTAATTCAATCCGCCTATAATGAATAGCCTATGAATATTAATAGTGCGCATAGTTACGCATTGTTACGCCTATTGTTCGTTTTGTTAATTACGGTTCTGCATTATGTAAAATATACTATTTCTTTGCCTCTAGAATTTTCTAAGCGCAGTTATATATTCCATGCGGTCATTCGAGTAAAATCAGCAATCAAATTGGAGCTGATACATTTATTTTCAAGAAGAATTAATGTTGTTTGTTTTTTAAAATAAAAATTTAAATAATTGTTAGTTTGCTATGTATATATATATGTATTTTCTCTTAGCAAAAATAATTGAGAATAGAAAAATAAAAAAAATTTCTTCTGGAATTTGTCAAAAGGGTGTTGTGTTATTCTTCATTTCAAGGTATCTAAATATGTATTTATTTTTCATTTATTAGAATAAGTTAGAACTAAATTGACTGGTAAAATAGTTTTTTTAGTACAATGTTTCTTTTTTAAGAAAACAGTTTTGTCGTTAGTCTTTTTAAAACATTTTAAGCAGTTTTTGTTTTATTTTTTAGAGCAGTTAAGAGGAGCTGATCGCTTTTTTAGTAAGTTCAAGTTATTTTCTCATACATAAATTAAGGTTTTTGATTTATTTTAGTCTATTTTATCTTTCTCTATATCTACATATATATATTCTCTAAGGAAAAATAATAAGGAATAAAAAAATTAAGAAAATTTCTTCTGAATTTGTCAAAAGAGTGTTGTGTTATGCTTCATTTTAAGGTATCTAAATATGTATTTATTAGAAATTTTTAATTTTGTTCTTAAATGGTTTCTTCTTTTTCATTGCTTTAGATTAATATATACTGACTGATATTTTTATTAACAATGTTGTACATTGTAGTCTGCATTCTTTGTTACATTAAAAATAATTGATGCTAATAAATGTTGTTTTATAGTTGTTAAAAGATTGCATATAAGTTTGCATGTATATTATGCTCAAAGTTTAAATTTTTTTGATAAATACATGTATGGGGTGATATATTTTATATAGTTGTTTTATAAATGAGTTTATATATGTGTTTTTATAATAGTATGAAATGTATTATATCTAATTTGTGCAAGATTGTTAAATGGGGTGTTTTTATATGCTAAGTAACATTAAAAAAATATATTGTGTTTTATAATTAGTATATATGTCTATATAATGTTGTTTCCATGATTTCAAAGTGGAGTTACTTGGCAAACGTGTAGAGCAAGATTTATCAACCTTACCAGTCAAGCGATGTTACTACTTTAGGTCTAAGTGTTGCCTAGCCTTTAATATAACTATTCTAAAAACACATTGCATTATCTTTAATAATTTTTTGCATAATGTTGTTACCTTTGGCTTATCTTTACAATGGTGTCAGCTGTTAAAAATGATTAATATGTAGTTTCATTACTAGAACTCACTGCTTTTATTTATTACTAACATTCATTCAAGACCATTTTGCTATAAATACATTTTGTTTATCATGAAAAAACAATATTTAGCAACTACTACTGTCAGGTATCACAATAGCTGATCTCTATCAGGTACATTGCTTTTCAATTCATATATGATGTTTTTCTTTGTATTTACTAATTTGTTACATTTTTAATTTCAGATTTATAGTGGTTTTATTTGCTTTGAACAAATCATTTTGAATTTTTTAAAAATATATATCTACTCCAGTCAACATTCAAAGTTCAATGTTACATATACCATTTTTAAGTAGCTTCTAGGCTTTTTTGATGCTTTTCTTATTAAAATGGTTTTATAAGCAAGGTCTGCAAGCAAATTTGAAATAAAAAGTTTTTCAGCTTTCAAAGAGAATTAATGTTGTTCTCTGTTTTATTTAATTTGTTTGAATACAGTAGTTTTAATAAAAAAATGTTTGTTTGTTCTTGGTTTTTTACTTATTTGTTTTCAGATTCTTAAGAACTAGGCAACTTAGCAAAGCAAGATTTATTTTATTTTTTAGTGCAATTGGAAAGAGCTAAATGTTACTGATTTGAGTAAGTTTAATGTTTTGTTTTATTTTATATTAGATGTATATTTTATGTATTTAGCATGAAAAACTGACTGTAATTTTTGACAGGTAAGTTTATATACATAAATGTGCGTATATATCAGAATATTTTATATTTCTCTGAATCTATATTAATATTATCTCACAGAAAAAATTAAAAGGAATAGAAAAAATTAAAAGGAATAGAAAAAATTTGAATATATAAACATATTTTTCATTTTTTATACAAGATTCAGCATTTATTATTTTTGTGCATTAAGATTGTGCCTGAAGGTAAAAATAACTTTGCATTGTAGTCTAAATTCTTTGCTAAATTAAAATAATGTCAAAAATTTTGTTTTATATTTTTCAGTTGTAAAAATATAAAGCGTTCTTTTATTCAGTTGTAACAGTAGTATAATCACTGGTAATATATTTAATTATAACAGATGTATAATATTAGGCTCGATGAAGTTATTAGTGTAAATGGTTATAGGTGACTTAAAATTGTTGTCATATGAAAGAAATAGATCTAGGCGTGATAAAATTAATTGTCGTTGAAATATAAGAAATTTTGCTTGATGAACAGAAAACTTTTTTGCCAGAATTTAGTGTCAAGCAGTGTTGATGTCTATTATTTGATTTTACATTAGACACTTTAAAATATAAATTTTAAAGTATGAATTTTACTATTTTTAATATTTTAATTTTAAAGTATGAATTTTACTATTTTTAATATTTTAATTTTAATGTATGAATTTTACTATTTATAGTAACAAGTAATAACAGTTTCAATTTTTAATGATTTTTTTATTTATTCATTTATTTTTTTTAGTTGTTTTTGTCATCACTTGATTATTTTGCTTACTGTTGAAACATGGTTTTAATTTTGTAAATTTAATATGATGTGAAATTTACAATATTAATTATTTGTCAACAGTTAAAGGAAGCTGGAACTTAATTAAGAAATGCTGGAAATTAACTTTTAGTTAAGGTACGTATAATTTTGTTTATTGGTAGCATAATAAAACCAGTTACTGTTATTTATTGCATGACTTTTTTACTTTTTCTAACGTGTTGTTTTTAAAACACTTCCTCTCTCTCTTAGATGAGACTTAAATAAGAATTAGTATAGAGAGAGAATAGATTAAACTCATGTAATTACTGAGCTATTGCGTATTTTTTAATACTGCGATTGATAATTTGCTATTTAAAGATATAATTCTTAAAATTGTCCCTTGGTTGTTATTGGTTATTGTAATAAATAAAATCTTTTTAGTTTCAAGTATTTTATTTAGGGATCGTCTATATATTACGTAACGCGAAATAAAAAATATAGACAAAAGAAATATCTCAAAAACCATGTTTCTCTCATGGTCAACTATATGTTGCATTTTCAAGAACTAGAGCATTTAATAGTTTGTTTTTCAAAATTGATAAACAACTTATTCAAGTTATAGTAGGTAAAAAATGTAACATAAATATTGTTATTTTTTTTAATGTTCTTAATTTATAGTCTTTAGATTTTCATTTCGAAAATTTACTGTTAAAGGTTGTGAGCACATTTTGTATGTATAACTTAATTTATCGTTATTTATTTTTTTTTCATATTTTTTGATAAATATATCTATCATTCAATAGTTGTAAAATGTGTTTATATGTGTTATAAAGTCATATTTGTTTACAGTTTTATATATGTTTAAACTAAAAAAGCCAAGACAACAATTTTGTTTTTGTTCTTCTTTGTAATTATGATATCATAATTTCATTACCTTTTTTTTTAGAATTACGTTATGACACATAAGATTTATAAAATAAAAAAACCTGATTTCTTTTTATTGTAAATTTTTCTTAGTTAAAAAGATATAAATATATGCTATTAGTTAATTTTATATTTTATCTATTTTATGCCTAATAATTTGTTGTACGTATTTTAAGGGGATCTTTGTAAATGGGGGGGGGGGTCGTAATTAAAAACCTTTAAAAACGTAGTTTTGCGCATTAACATCGAGTTACTCAAGTTTTATTTATGTGTTTAACTAATTAGTTAGCTTAGTCTGTATTTGCAACACTTTTGAGGAAAGAAAGAAAACATTCTTATATATGTAAATCATTGTTTTACATTTTATTATTTTATTCACCTGGTCACCATCTTTATTAGAGTCAAAATATTTAAGAAAATTAAATTTCGAGTTACAAATGGAATTTTTAGTAAACGGTATTTTGCCAATACCGTTTACTAAAAATTAATGAAATAAAGAGGCCAAACAAATAATATAGAAATGGTCTGTGTTGAACAGACTTATCAAGACCCGGGTCGGGTCAGCTTGGTTTACAAATTCTTATGTCTACTTATCTGTTATAATTTTTATTTTAGGTTTGTCATATGATGCATTAATGCATTAAGTTTACATATTTTTTCAAATTTATTATACCCATGTTTGTCATTAAACATTTTTAAGTTAATAATTTTCTTTTTTAAAGAAAAATTAATCAAGGGGATACAAAAAAATTGATAACTCCTGTATAATATAATTTATTCTTTTTAACTTTATTTTAATCTTAATGGTTCGTGTTATAAAAATTTTTACAAGGATTTCGTTGGTACTTTCGTCAATTTAAAGCATGACGAAGTGTTATTATTTTGTGTCAGTAACTAAAAACGTATTTTGTTAAACTTAGGAAGGTCGATGAAAATGGTTCTGCCTTACACTGTTATAAACTATGCCATTTGTTAATTACTTAAATAATGTTAAGTAGTAATAGTAAATGTTAAGTAGTAGTTTGCTAATTATTTTACCTCCTCATACTTTTTATGTTAATTTTACAGATGGATTAATTTTTTCAAGCTGAAGGCGATTTTCTAAAAGGGTATTAGTTAAGGTTTTGCAACATTAAATTGTGGAAAACAGCCACTAAATTAATTATGTAACAGACCGACCAAAACCCGTATTACGGGTTGCTTTTTGCTAGTTTATATTAAATATTGAACTTTTAATACCTGGTTAGAATATTTTTTTTTTTGAAAACAAAACTTATAATAAGTTTACAATGGCTAAACCGATAATAAGTTTACAATGGCTTAAAAAGTTTGACTTTTTTATGAATCTCACTTATGGAGCATCAAAAATTTAAACATTAGAGAGATTGAAACAAAACAAAATGTATAAAAAAAAGATTTACTTCCTAAGTCTCAGTAACGGTGCTTAAAAAAAGAAGCATATCATACCTGACAAATACGCATAATCGAAACGTTTTTGTTTAGTAATTCATATAAACGACTATAAAGTGATTATGGAAGTAAATTGGAATATAAATTTTGTATTACTTTTGTACATTTATGTATTTAAATATGGAATATAAATTTTGTTTTCACTTTTATTTCAGCTGTTTTCATGACGCTACCCTGTCGCGTTTTGTGTATTTTAGTGGTAGTTTTGCTTAATGTTTTTGTTAAAAAAAAAAAATTATAAAAAAATAAAAAAAATTATAAAAGAAAAAATTTAAGTTCTACTTTTTAAAAATATATAACAGTAATAGTCGAAAATAAGCGAAAAACGTATTGAAGTTTAAAAATGTAAATTTTTGTTTTTAAGAAATGTAAATCGTTCGGAAATGTAAATCTCCCCTTAACAACGCTTAGTAAAACACTTAATAATATACCAACTAGAATAACCTCAACGTCAGCTACCTTAATTGACAACATAATAACAACCAATATTTTTAATGAATCTCTTAAAGTATAGTTAAAAACCGATATTTTTAATGAATCTCTTTAAGTATAGTTAAAATTGACGTTTTGGATCATTACTATAATTTTTTCCCCATTACCATTGAGAAAAAAAATAAAAACAACAAAAAAGTTTTTTACAAGCGCTTACATAAAGTCTTTCAACGATAAAAATATAACATTATTTAAGCTATCTTTACTAATTGGAAGCATATCAACTGTTCATTCGAAGCAAATATAATGAATGACAGATTTTATGAAACATAAGATGTAAATTTCCCAAAAAGTGAATTTACAAAAACATATAAAAGTTTACAGTCACCTTGGGTCAATACGAATTTTAATAAATACTAAAAAAAATAAATATATATCATATATAAAATAATTAAAATAACCAACTGAAAATAAGTTAATTTATAAAAATTACACTAAACTATTTGAAAGCCAAACAAAAAAGGCAAAAAACATAATACTGCGATTTACTAAAGAAGAATTAATCTAGTTCGAAGCGTACATGGCAAATTATAAGTCAAATTACTGGTAAAAACAAATTAAAAGCGTGCTCTATATCTAATACTTTAAAAATAAATGGCGTATTTTTACATGAACCTAAACAAATAGCAAACAAACTAAATAAGTTTTTTGTATCTGTTGGACCAAATTTAGCTAAAAATATTCTTAATATTATAAATCCAATATATGATTACGCTTTTCCATTAATTTCTAAATTAGATAAAATTGAAGTAACTTCTTTAGAATTTGAAAATGCATTTAAGATGTTGGTAACTAATAAAGCAGTTGGTCCTGAAATTCTAACATAGTTATAGATTCATACGACAATATAAAGTACATTCTTTTCAAAGCTTTTAAAGATTCAATTAATCGAGGAATTTTTCAAGACCATTTATAAACTGGCAAAATTAAACCAGTATTTAATAATGGTGAATCATCAAATGTCAGTAATTATCGTCCAATATCTGATCTGAAAAATTTTAGAGCGAATTTTGTTTAACCAAATATACAATCATCTGACTGTTAATATTTATAAATAAATATATCAAATCATCATTGTCAAAATTTTATATACACACACACATATATATATATATATATATATATATATATATATATATATATATATATATATATATATATATATATATATATATATATATATATATATATATATATATATGTATATATATATATATATATACATATATATATATATATATATATATATATATATATATATATATATATATATATATATATATATATATATATATATATATATATATATATATATATATATATATATATATATATATATATATATATATATATATATATATATATATATATATAGGTACGTAGTAATACGCGTTTCACGGTACCGAGTTTTATAATAAAAAACTGTTCTCCGTTTTTTCGACTTTTGAGTTGACATGCATGATAGAATGGTGTTTTGTAGCCTTATTTTTTAGAATTTCATATTAACATAGTTATTTTTTAAAATCTAGAGTAATTAAACTTTATTTCTGTGTGTCATTTGATTACAATGACAAACTTTTTAAGGTAATTTATTTACATCCAAAACTTGGTAATACTTTAGACGTTTAGTAAACCTTGAAAAAATGCTCAGTAAATTTTCCAACCTATTCTCATTTTTAAGTTTACATACTTTTTATGCGCCTGCCGAATTTCATTGCTTTATTTTGATTAGCACATTCCTTATTTTAACTCAAAATCTAAGTGCCTTTATGTGCCATTATGTAGAACTTTATCTTTATCTAACCAAAAAAGAACCAAAAAACATAATTCTGTGCTATATAGAAAGTGTTCAGAGTTCAAATTTTAAACCCAATTGTTGTGCATATACCAAAAGTATTCAGCATTTAAAACTTTTATTGTACTTTCACTAACCTTATTTTTATATTTTTTTATATTTATGTAGTTATCCTATTGCTCATTAGTTATGCAATTAAATAACTTTATAATTTTTAAAGGTATCATGCCTCCTAAGACAAAAATGATGCTTATTGGCAATTTATAAAAATATATAATCGCTAACTTTACATTGGCTACCAAAATGAGCATTGATTGTAGAAATGGGCATATACTATTTATATTTATTAACAACGGAGAGTTATTTAATAAAACTGTGCACAAGTTTATGAGCATTTTAGCATTAACACTTGCAAAAATCAAATCCAAAAACTTTTTAGTGTAGTAAAAAAACGGTCTTATAACTTTTCAAGAAATGCCACTAATGCAGCTGACTTTTGCAACAAGCCATTTGTGTTCCATGCCCTGGTGCTGACAGTCTCACAGTCATTGCCACTTACCTCTAGTCCAATTAATACTGTTTCTTGTTCTTCAATCTCATCATCAGAAAATATCAGTTTTATATCTCCAGTAAGTAGTGCAAATCTAACTCAAGCAATAGCAAAAATAAACAAAATCTGAATATTTAACGAGAAAAAATGACTCTTACAAAAAAAAAGTTACAGAGTTGGTTATTTTATTTGACATCACAATTAGCTAACTCTTCTAAAGAACAACGTTATAAGATAACATTATTGAAATCTGAACAACATGCCCTACAAAATAAAAGTTTTAAGACGTTTAAAGTTTAAGCATTTAAAGTAAAAAAGAAATTATAAAAGCTTTTAGAGCTGGAGTTAGAAACCTGAAACAAAAAATTTAAATCATGTTACTGCAATAGGTATATTCACAATCTTGTAATGAAAAAAAGGAAATGAAAGTTGAAGTTAGAGAACAGCTAAGACAAGTAATGCTCAAACATAATACTGTTAGTAGAGAAAATAAAATTGAAATTGCTAGATTAGAAAATGATATGACCTAAATGGAGAAGGTTGATTGTATTGCTTCAGTTACGTCAGGAGATAATAAAGCTTACTAATTACAATCTAGAATGATAATCTATAGCATTTTATTGTGTAATGTTCCAACAGGTAATATTCTAATCCTATTGTAAAAAACTGCACAATATTTTAGTGTTGGTTTGTTGCATATTCCCAAGCGTATTACTGTTGAGCAAATGGCTCGTGAGGTTGGTTGCATATCTGACATGGAAGCTGCAGAGTGGGCCATCTGCAATACAAATCTTACTCTTGGGTTTGACACCGCCATGGAGGAAGGTGTTCATATTAATAGTGTCCACTTAAGGTCAAAAAATAATTGTCAAAGTTTGCTTCGGACCAATTGCCTGGATTGTCTGGTTATGATGAAAATTTGATTATAATTGTCTGATGGTTATGAAAAACATATAGGTAATGCAGTGGATAATATGTCTTCAATTTGTTCCGATTTTCAACACTACTGTATTTTGTAACACAACTGCTATAAAACTGTGTATTCGTGGTTTATTTGGAAAACTTCTCAGTGGGCCATGGATGATTAATTTTAATTTGATAGTGATAAATTAAGATAGTGAAGAGTTGATGGGTATGTTTAGTGAAGCTATAGGGAGATCCTTAATGCAGCTATTTGTTATATATCTTGCAAATTGCGATTTAAAAAGAATATGGCTAGATTATCTTGACCAAATAGAGAGAGAAAATGTAGTTAAGTGGTCTATTAAAGCAGCTCGTATAAAAAGAATAGCAAATTGACTGAATTATACTGCATTATGAGATTTCAAAAAGACAGACATACAAAAGGCAAAAGATGGGTGAAAAAGAAAAAAGGAAAACGGAGCGAGAGCTGAGTTCGCTATCTTTTAATGAAATAAAGAATTTATATGAGCACTTGTCTACTAAGCAACTTGATGACTTATATGATTTAATGTATGAAAGAATTGTTGGAAGAGAACTCTGTCATGAATGGTTTGATACAGATAATAGCAAGTCTGTCATTTATGATAGCAAAGTAGAAAAAGTCAATAAAAGAAAAGAAGACAGAGTTTATACTATTTCCTTCTGGAAAAAAGATGAAACTGTTGATCATTACATGTAAAAATTCCAACTTGCTGCTGATATTGTATCAGGAGAGTTGATATTTTCTTAATTTAATATGCTTTAATGTTACTCAATATTATTGTGCTTTAATGTTACTGTCTAATAGAAAAAGAAGTATTGCATGTGGTGTGACTTGCAAAAAGGTATTGAAAAAACAGATTTTTGCATCTAATGTGGTGAGATATTTTTTAAAATTGTTTTTGTTGTTTTAAATAGCATTTTTTTTTTCCTTTTGTTTTGAAACTTTTTTATGTTTTTTGGATTACAAGGGAAGGAGGGGGGCGGAACCCATTCATTGATTTGACATGTAGGCCACTAGTGTATGTTATAAAGTAGTAAAAGTTTATTTTCAATACTAGGTAATTTTGTTGATGCAAAACAGATACAACAAGTGGTGACTTGTAATTAAAGTACCGCATATGATGAAGCTAGCAAAAATATACCACAAGTGCAAAATAGTAATGGGAAATGGTTTGACTTGCCAAAAGGACACCGCAAGTGGTGTGACTTGCATAGAAAATACCGCAGGTGGTGTGACTTGCAAATAAGGTAATGCAAGTGGTATGACTTACAAAATAGGTACCACTAGTTGTGTTACTTACAGAAAAGGTACTGCAATTGGTATGATTTGCAATTTTTTGATAGACGTCTCTGGATTACATTCTTGTTGTGTCTATTATTAAAAATGATTGTTATTTAGTTTCATTGTGAAACTTAAACTTTTAATCATTCACTAAAAGCCAAGACGTAAGTTAGTATTTGTTGTAATTCAAAGTATTTTTATTTTGAAATATTTATTTTAGGTGGAAGGGGGGGGGGGGGTATTCGAACGCTGGTATAAAGAAAGAATGGCAACTTCTTATAATTTGGTAAAATGATGCATCTTGTAATGTGGTAAAATATGTTTTTATAATAATTTTTATTATCTTATACAATAGCATTTAAATTTTTTTAATCGCATTACAAAAATTTAATTCTCATTTTAGGTTGGAGGGCGTTGTGGCACACACCCCTTCCCTTGATTCTAAATGTGCACTACTAGTGTGAAGACGAGAAATTTTTGTAATTTTTTTTAAAAAAAAATGTATTTATTATTAGGCTTACTTTTTTTTAATAAAGATAAAAATATTTATTGAAATTTTTTTTAGTTAATGGGTGTGTTAAACTGACACCCTTACACCCACCATAACACAATAATATATACATATATATATATATATATATATATATATATATATATATATATATATATATATATATATATATATATATATATATATATATATATATATATATATATATATATATATATATACATAAATATATATATATATATATATATATATATATATATATATATATATATATATATATATATATATATATATATATATATATATATATATATATATATATATATATATATATATATATATATATATATTAGGTACGTAGCATGAAAATTTTAAATTAATTAAACATTAGATTGTTATATATTATTTTAAATAATATATAACAATCTAAAGGAGGGGGGGGGGGGGCCAAAGGAGGAACCGAACCAACAGCTTATCCGGTAATAAATGCAAATTTTTATAAATAAAAGAGTAATTTTTTTCGGAAATTTTTAATTTTCATATATATATATATATATATATATATATATATATATATATATATATATATATATATATATATATATATATATATATATATATATATATATATATATATATATATATATATATGCATATTTATATACATATATTATATATGTATATTATATACATTATTAAATAATGATAATAGTATTATTCTTATTGTTATTATTATTAGTATTATTATTGTTGTTATTATTTTTATTATTCACATATTTTAAATTATTATGATTGTATATTGTCATTTTTGGTTGTTAGGTTTGGTTTTAACTGTTAGTAACTGTCCTCTAAATAATGTCCAGTGAAATAATGAATTGTAAATTTAACAAATTAGTTGTCTATCTTGACTTTTTTTATTTAGAGATTGATTTTTAGACACCTTTGTCATATATATATATAGGTAATATGTTGTTTTGTATATAGGAAAAGTGTTTTAATTGGTGGAGAAATATAACTGCAGAGGTTAACCATTTCACAACAGATACAAGCAGTTCCAATAGTTGTTGTAGTCAGGAAGATGGACTGTTTTTATCTGATACACATCTTAAAAAAGGGGACAATGAAGATTCTGTATTTATCACATTATCCAGAAGTGATTCACTCAGATTGTCTACCTACTTTGAGTGAACAGCTTGCATCATGGGCTACTAGAAACAAATGTAGGCAAGAATGTGTTAATGGGTTTAGAAATGTGGTGGTACATATGCTTACTTTGGGATTGAAAGTGGAATTATGAAAACAATTTTTAACAACATTTTATTTTTAAACCAAAATAAAGACATTGATTTAATAATTAATATTGATGGTCTTCCCCTTTTTAAGTCTTCAAATTTACAGATGTGGTCTATTTTATAAGTTTGATAAGTATGATGTATTTATTGTGGCACTTTTTTGTGAAAGCTCTTAGCCGACATCTTTGAATGACTATTTGCATGATTTTAAAATGGAAGTTATTAATCTTCTACAAAATGGTTTTAATTTTAACGATATAAAAATAAAAGTTAATTTAAAGTGTTTTGCATGTGATTCTCCTGCCAGAGCATTCCATTCATGCGAAAGATGCGTGATAAAAGGATCTTGGAGTGGGAGAGTTTTTTTTAATTCTAGTGCTATACATGAGATTCGGACAAATCTAAAGTTTTCTGCCATTGGTTATCCGGATCATCAGAAATCCTCAACACCTTTTATAGATTGTGGCGTAAACTGTGTAACAGATTTTTCTCTTGACTACATGCATTTGGTATGCTTGGGGGTTGTGAAATGCATAATAAAGTTTTTTAAAAGTGGTCCTCGACATAGTAAATTATTATTTAGGCAAATATCGCAGATATCTAAAAAGCTAACTGAGCTAAGTGGGCATCTACCAAAAAAGTTTGCTCGCCAACCTCGGACATTGTTAGAAATAAATAGATGGAAAGCTACAGAATACAGACAATTTCTTCTCTATAGTGGTCCTTTAATTTTAAAAGATATTATATCACCATCCATTTATAAGCATTTTCTTTCTCTCAGCATTGGAAAAAGTATAATGTTGGATTCAAATGACGAAAGAATATCAAAGCATCTTGATTACAGTAAGAAGTTGTTAAATTATTTTGTTAGTAATGCTTCTTTAATATATGGAAATACATATGTTGTTTACAATGTTCATGGGCTCATTCATTTGAATGAAGATGTTAGCAACTTCAATTTTTCTCTCAATGGTGTATCATGTTTTAAATTTGAAAAAAACATGCAAAAACTCAAAAGTTTATGTTAGAAAAGCTAGCAATCCTGTTGTGAAAGTGACAATAGACTAGCAGAATTTGATAAAATAAAAGATAAATGCTATTTTAAACAGAATTTTTTCACTACAATCTCAACTAGATCAAAAGATAATTGTTTTCTATTAACAAACAAAAACGTTGCTTTTATTAGAGAAATAAAAAATTGTGGAAAATATGTATGTGATGTGGTGAAAATTCGTGATATAGATAATATATTTACCTCACCAGCAGAATCCAAAATATTTCAAATTAGTGTTGTTCATAGTTTTACTAGAGCAATGAGAAGAATCGTGGAAAGACATGAACTTCAAAGAAAAGTTGTGGCACTTCCATACAAAGGAGGTTATGCTCTATTCCCAATGCTTCATGATGAACAGTAATAGGGCTATGATTTATCCTTGGTACATAGCTCAAACTAATAATTAATTTATCAACAGTTTATAGTTTCAAAAAATGTTTAAATTCTTTTTACTTTTTTTTTTGATTCTATGTAAAATTTATATTTTTTTCCAAAAACTGCAAAAAATGGGTGCGTGCAGTTTGGTTAGAGGGAAGTACTGAGGAAGAGGGAGTCATACCGATTCATACCGAATTCATATTACATATTATGTATTAAACTTAGTAATATATATATATATATATATATATATATATATATATATATATATATTATATATATATATATATATATATATATATATATAAATATATAAATATATATATATATATATATATATATATATATATATATATATATATATATATATATATATATATGTATATATATATATATATATATACATATATATATATAATATATATATATATATATATATATATATATATATGTATATATGTATGTATATATATATGTATATATTATATATATAAGTATATATATGTTTATATATATGTATATACATGTATGTAAATGTATATGTTTATATATGTATATATATGTAGATGTATGTATATATATACATATATATATATATATATATATATATATATATATATATATATATATATATATATATATATATATGTATATATATATATAATATATATATATATATATATATATATATTTATATATATATATATAATATGCATCTGTATATATATGTATATGTTTATATATGTATATATATATATGTATATATATGTATATGCATATATATGTATATGCATATATATGTAAATGTATATATATGCATATGTGTATATATATATATATATATATATATATATATATATATATATATATATATATATATTTATATGTATGTATATATGTATGTATATATATTAGGTTACAAGAATTGCTAAAGTTGGTGGTGTTAATGTAAAAGAGAATATTGCAAATGTTTTAAATAGGTATATTAATTGTTTTTACTATAATTAGTCATTTAAATAAATTTTGAAACTGTCAAATGTATATTTTTCATAGTCTTAAATACTTTATGATAATTTCAATAAAAATAAAATATACAGTGTATATCTAAATACATTAATTACTTAATTCCCTCAAAATGGTGTATGCACCTAACCCGCCCCCACACTAAATTTTTTTTAAACAAAGTACCAAGCAAAATAAAATGTTTATCCACAGTGCCCGCAACTATCCTCAGCTGTCCGCTCTACTGTCCACAACTACAAAAAATGTTAGCAAGTGAAGGACTTTTTTTATAAAAGGATTTGTTTCTTTCATTTAAGGACTTTCTAATTTTCCTAAAATCATCCCCAACATATTTTATAGCATGATATAAATAAAATATGTATTGTTATATTGACATAATTTGTTAATAGGCGTATGAATAATCATCTGATGAGTGATTTTAATATGAAGAGTAAGCATGGAAAGCAGCCCTTTGGTGTTACTTGCCTTTATAAAATAATAAAAAGTAAGTTTTTATTTAATATATATGTTTGTATGTTGCATATATATTTTACACTGTATATAAAGTTGGACTTAGGGTAAAACCATGAAAATAAACCACCTTAAAAACCACAAAAAGTGATAAAACCATAAAATAAACCACCTTAAAAGTCAATAGTGCTGGTAAACAGAAAACTTTAGTCCGGCTTTCTTTTTTAGTTGTTAAATTGTTGAAAATAAAAATATACTTTTTTTCTAGCAAACGCTCTTAATTTAAACAGTTGCAATGAGAAGGATGTCGACAATGCCATTTCAAAGCACCTTAAGCATGCGCCAAAGAGAAAAGGTGGACTTAAGTTCACCGAAAAAATGTTTTATAACGATATTTTGAAATGTTTATGTAACGTATTTGTTTATAAATGTATTAAAATACAGTTATATTTTTAGTCAATATATATTTCTTTAAAGTTATTTTAGTTTTAGTATACTTTGTTGTTATTTTAACTTCAAAATATAGTTTAAAATAGAGATATCATAACAACTTATAAGTCGTTGTTATAATTTTAGTTTAATAAAACTTTATTCGGGTTTTTTAATCCATACGGCGAATAATTTCAACGTTGTTTCTCCTATGACTTTTAACTAGTGTGCGACGTTTAACTGTAACCAAATCGCGACGTCAATGTTTAACATCCATAATGCGTAATATTTTTACGTTATTTTAAATTTAAATATTGCGATGCACATAACAGCATTTAGACGTCAAATCATATTCGATTTTCAACGTCGAAAATAGTCGGTGTTTTGTTGTCAGATTTCTACGTCATTCCGTCTTTCAATTCAATACTAATATTCAACGTGAAAACAACATTAATTTAACCTAATTTCGACGTTATATTTACGTCGAAATGTTTGCTGGGATATATATGTATACATATACATGTGTGTGTGTTTGTGTATAGGTAGCGTTTCTTTACAGTTTTTAGCGTTAGATAAAAACCTTATAATTTTCTTAAACTTTACTTGTTTACATATTTTTTTAAGGTTAAGCATGAAACTTGAGACTTTTTGCCATATTCAGTTTAAATCTACTGCAGTTTAAATTTACTTTTAGTTATTGAAATCCTACAGTTGGATTTTTAGAAAATTGATTTCATAAAAATAAACAAATCTATAAGTTACAATAAAAAGTTATTAATTGAAAATAAAGTTTAAATACGCTATGATACTTTATATTAAATATGCTAAGATATTTTTTTATTTACTGATCTATATAAGAAATAAGGCTATATCATTGACTTTTCAGAAACTAATTAACAAATAAACAATTGATATATAAAATATTCTCTGTAGTAAAGAACCGCAGCCATTTTAAAAGTTTAAAAGTTTTTTGTATTTTCTTACGCATGCGTACCTAAACATAGCTTTTGTAAACGACCGTGTAAACAGTTATTTTCGTTAAAAATTACGTCAACAGAGCTACACCAAGTTTCCGACATGCAAGTTAAGCTAAATAAACTTTTTTCATATCTATATAAAAAATTTTGAAATGCTTTGATATGCTTCTTATATTAATATGCAAAATTTTTTATATATTATTAAAAGTTGTAAAATTTTATTTTATTTTTTCTATTTTCACGAAGGGGCTCGATGATAAGACATTTTGTCTTATAATTGCCCTAGTCCGCTTATAATTGTATAAATTTATTTGAATGTAAGGTTAATATTATAAAATGTGTTAAATGATGAAATAAATAATAAATAAATGTTTAAATTTTGGGGATTAAGAAGTTCTTTTATTTCATTGGAATTCTAATATTTCATAGGAATAATAGGAGCAGTTGCATAGTAAAGCATCGGTTCCAAAAAATAGTAATTTAAATACCGAATTTAAATACGGATCCGATTCATGGTTTTCTAAAAAGTTATCAGTCAAAAAGAAATCAAAAGAATTCAATTCAAAATTGTTCAAATTGTTTCAAATCCATTTTTTTTTTTGATTATACAGCAGTAAGTAAAAGAAATTCTTTTAAAAATTGCGCGTTATTAGTTTGTTATTTGCTAAATAAGCATAGATTAGCTATTTTTTTCCATACTGATAAAAAGAAAATTTTGAGGAGTCTAAAAATACTCTTAAAAGACCTGTTGGCTTTATTGGGTCGTCCATAAATTACGTCACACAATTTTTGACAATTTTTTACCCCTCCCCCCTTTCTTCTTAACATATCGTAACACTTAATTGACTCCACCCCTCCAATGTTAGGCTAACCCTTACCCCCTGAAAAAAATTTAAAGTTTTTTTCAGAGGGATAGGGGTACAAAATTTTACTGAATACAAAACGATTTTAAATATAATAATATCTATAATTTTCTGAGCTTCTTTGAGTTAATTAACTAGTTCTTTTCAGTCTGTTTAAGGTTTTTTTTTTCACCCCAATAGTTCCGTGTAAAATTGTATAAATTATATTGCTATCCTTAACATAATACCAATTTTAAAAGCTGTTTTTCCGATATATAATACATGCACAATATTATATATATGTATATATATATATATATATATATATATATATATATATATATATATATATATATATATATATATATATATATATATATATATATATATATATATATATATATATAATATATATATATATATATATATATATATATATATATATATAATACATAATAATATATTTTACATGCAAAAGAATTATTTTATTAATATAGTTTTCTCTTGACTTGCTACGTAAGCCTGGCCGAGTGGATTTTCTAAATTTAAAACTAAAAAAAAAATTGTTGCGTCACAAAATACAGATCCCTCCCTCTCGTAACAAAACGTCACAAATAACTCTAAATATCTCGCATAAATATCTCGTAACAAAACGTCACAAATCCCCCCATCCTAAGTTTTTTTTTGTTCATGACTGCAATTTTGTAATTAAACCACAAAAAACTTTCAAAAACGTTTTTTTCTCGCTCCCTGGTTCTCGATTCTCGCCATACAAGACATATATTGTAAACACTATTTGGTAATAATTTTAATGGTAATAATGTTCATTATTGTTTTATGAAAAATCAAACATACTTTGTATTTTTGACAAATACAAACATCTAAATAAACAATAGTTTATTTAGATGTTTTTATAAAACATCTAATTAAACAATTGATTTATGGAAAACCAAACATACAAAGTGTCTTTGATTTTTCAAAAAACAATTCATGATTTATGAAAAATCAAGCATACAAAGTGTGTTTGATTTTTTGTAAATCATCGACGAAAAATTTAAATGTTATTTATTAGAGAAATTTAGCTGTAAAAAAACTAATAAATTTATTACGAACTTCTTGCTTTGGTTCCATTTAGTTTTGAAAAGCAGTTAACTGCTTTTTAAAACTAAAAGGAACCTTAGTTTAAATTGCAAATTTAGAGTTATTTAAAATTAGTACTAAAAATTTTAAGAAACATGATGTAAGACGTTGATGGCATGTTTATGGCTACCAAATTCCTAACAGAGGTGCCTTTAACAGAGTAAAGAAGAACTCCGCTAAGCCATGGCTTACCAGGAATTATACTTCTATCTAATCATTAAGTAGGGATTCGTCAATAAATTACGTGACGAAAACATTGACAATAAATAAAACAAAAAGATCAAAAGTTTTTCCTCGCAGAGTCTTAATCTATATAGAACATCAAAGTAGCTCATTTAAGCTTAATGAAAATCGCCGCGTAAAAAAATTTAATATCTCCAACTTCTGCTTTTTAAACATATTTTGGATTGCGTAGTTTATAGACGATCCTTAAGCCATCTTAATTCAAGAGGAGAAAAAACACCAAAAGTTACGAAGAAAGTAAACTTGCCAATGCTCGCAAAAATCTTGCACAAATCTGTTCCAGTAAAGATTATATATATATGTATATATATATATATATATATATATATATATATATATATATATATATATATATATATATATATATATATATATATATATATATATATATATATATATATATATATATATATATATATATATATATATTTATTTATTTGCTGAATTCTGTTAAAAATGCAGCTCTTGTCTGCTTAAGAGTGATCAATATTTCTTTGTAAAATAGATCGAATTATATATTTATATAATTTAAATGAAAAAAATACAACTTTTTATGAAACTATTACTTTCATACCACTCGGCAATTATTCAACCATATTACTCAAAATTTACAAAATAAAAAACCTTTGTATTTTTATCCAATCTTAAATGAAAATTGTTAATTACCTAAATGTAACATTGAACCATACATTCAAGCTAGTTCCAACCATCCACATAATATTTTAAAACAGTTACCAACCTCAATTGAGCATAGGTTTTCAACTAATTCTTCCAGCAAAATAATTTTTAAAAATACTTCCCCTTTTTATAAAGATGCATTAGAAAAATCTGGATTTAGAAACAACATACAATACCATCCATATGTAGGTCCAAATAATACTAATAAGCGAAAGAGAAGCACCATATGGCTTACTCCTCCGTTTAGCAAAAACGTTGTCACCAAAATAGAACACCTTTTTCTTAAGTTAATTGACTTGCATTTTCATTTTCATCATAAGTTCCACAAGATATTTAACAGAAATACAATCAAAAATAGTTGCAGCTGCATGCCGAGTGTTGGATCAATTATTAATTATTATACTGGGGCCACTCCTTTTTCTCGTCTATGTTAATGATCTGCATAATGCCTCAAATTTAACGACAGTGATGTTTGCCGATGACACTAACCTTTTTCTTTCCAGTAGTAATATTGTTACACTTTTTAATGACATAAACATAGAGTTAGTTAAAATTTCAAATTGGTTTAAGACAAATAAATTATCAATTAACTTAGAAAAAACTCAATGGACTCTATTTCATCCTAAATCCAAAAAAAACCTTTTACCAAATGATATGCCTCAAATATATATTGACAATGTTCAAATAAAGCAATCAAAGGTTATACATTTCCTTGGTGTTTTCATTGATGAAAACTTAACATGGAAAAATCATATTGAAACATTATGCAATAAAGTCTCAAAAAATATTGGAGTGTTGTATAAAGCGAGAAATTTTGTAAATAGACATGCATTAATTCAACTTTATTACTCGCTAATCCAATGTCATGTAAACTATGCTAACATTGATGGGGTAGTGCTAATAATAGTCAATTAGAACCTATTTATCGGCAACAGAAGCATCTAGCACGTCAAATAAATTTTAAAGATCGTTATACTCATGCAAAACCTCTTTTAATAGACATGAATATTCTTAATATATATCAACTAAATGTTTTTAATATTCTTTGCTTTATGTACAAATGTAAGATAAACTTAACCCCAATATTTTTTCAAAATTTATATGCAATAAAGCCAAGAAACAAATATGAAATAACAATCTTATTCA